GATACCCACCCCCATTTTCACCGAGCTCTAGTCACTCTAATGTCCTTACCATTCTCCAAGTCAGGAAACTCTCTGCCCCCAGAACTTTTACATTTCTTATTACCTCTGCCTAAAATGCTTTTCTTCCAGATATTCCCAAGTGTGATGATTTGAATGAGAATGTCCCCCATAGGCTCCAAGTATTTGAATACTTGGCTCCAGTTGGTGGTGCAGTTTGTAGAGTTTTAGGAGATGCAGCCTTGCTGCAGGAAGCACATCACTGGGAGGTGGGCTTTGAGAGGTCATAGCCTTGCCCTACGTTCAGTTTACCCTCTCTGTTTCCTGCCACTGCTTGGAGATGTGAGCTCTCAGCTTTCTGCTATGGCCACCTCTGTCACCATACTGCCCCACCATGGTGGGCTCCTCTTCCTCTGGAACTGTAAACCAAATAAACTCTTCTTTAAGTTGCCTTGGTCATGGTGTTTTACCACAACCACAGAAAAATAACTAATACATCAAGCTTTCTCAAGTCTCTGTTCAAATTGCTTTGTTGTTTTGTTTTGTTGGCAGTGCTAGGGATCAAATCCATGGCTTCATGCATGCCAGGGATGCACTATACCCACTGAGGTATATCACCAGCCCTCAGAGGAGTCTTCATTTCTGGACCACCTCATCTAATATAGTACCCCCAAATTATTTGCTACTACTGAATATCTATGTCTACTCAAAATTCCTCTAAGTCTTAACTCCTACCTAGCATGATTGTATTTGGAGATGGGGCTTTTGCAAGGTAATTAGAGTTCAAAGAATTCTTAAGGGTACAACATCAGTGACATGATTAGTGCCCTTTTAAGAACAGACCAGAACTCTTTTTCTCCCAGTCATGTGATTTTTCAGCACAAAAGTGGCCAACACTAAGAATAGAAATCTAATGACCCAGTGCAACACCTTGATCTTGGACTTTCAGCCTGCAGAACTCCAAGAAATAAGTATCTATCTTTTAAGCCACAGTCTATCTTGTTATTGAAGCCCAAGCTAAGACATTCTACTTATTCTTCCTTCATTTACTTCATATCACTTAAATAATTGCTTGCTTAGCACTTGTCTCGTCCCAGACAAAAATTATATATTTGGTTCTTTCACTGTTTTCTTAGTATATGAGGTAATGAGATTCTCAGCAACATTCAATAAATATTAGATTAATGAATGACTAGTTTTTAGACTCTGCTAGTGGTAACTATGCAAAGTTGGTTCTTTGTGCCATTAGTTCATTAAAGAGCTTTCTGTTTGAAAGAATCAAAGATACTTGGACTTAATGGGTTATTAAAAAGAAAAAGATGACAGAAAGTTGGGAGGGGTGGGAGTGGGGAGTGGATTGAGGAAGAAGTAGAGGAAGGAGGAGAGATAATGTATATGATCAAAATACATTGTATACATGTAAGAAATTCTCAAAAAAAATAATAAAAATAGTTTTAAAGACTGGAAGATCTGGGGCTAGAGAGATGGCTCAGCAATTAAGAACACTGTCTGCTCTTGCAGTTTCGATTCCCAGCACCAACCACCCTAACTCCAGTTTCAGGGAATCTGACGCCCTCTTCTGTCCTCTTCAGGCAATATAAATAAAATAAAAAATAATAGATAAGCTGGGTGTGGTGGCACACACCTTTAATCCCAGCATTCAGGAGGCAGACGTAGGTGGATCTCTGTGAGATCAAGGCCAGGCTGGTCTAAAGTGAGTTCCAGACCAGCTACAGCTGCAAGGAGACCCTGTCATGTCCAACTTGTAAGCCTCTTTTTCTTTTTTAATTAGGAAAATCAGGAAAACTCTTATTTATATTGTTTAAGAGTTCAAATGAGTGGGGCTGGAGAGATGGCTCAGTGTTAAGAGGACTGACTGCTCTTGCAGAGGACCTGGGTTCGATTTCCAGCACCCACATGGTGGCTAACAACCATCCGTACTGCCAGTTCCAGGGGAATCTGACTCCTTCTTCTGACCTCCGCGGGCATTGCATGACACGGGTGTCCTTACACACATGCAGGCAATACACTCATACACATAAAATAAAAATAATAAAATATTTTTAAAGAGTTCAAATGAGGGGGCTGGAGAGATGGCTCAGCAGTTAAAAGCATTGGCTGCTCTTGCAGAGGACCCAGGTTTGATTCCTAGCACCTATATGGTGGTTAACAACCATCCCTAACTCCAGTTCCAGGGGAATCCAAGGCCTTCTTCTGAACTCCATGGGCATTGCATGACACAGGTGCATCTACACAGGCAATACACACATACACATAAAATAAAAATAATAAATATTTTTAAAAAGATAGCCAGGTGTGGTGGTGCACGCCTTTAATCCCAGCACTTAGGTGGCAGAGGCAGATGGATCTCTGTGAGTTTGTGGCCAGCCTGGTCAACATAGCCAGTTCCAGGTCAGCTGGGGCTACAGGGAGACCCTGTTTCAAAAAGACCAAAAAAAAAAAAAAAAAAATAGAGAGTTGCTGATAGCTAGCAGTTATAGAGCTATGAATTTTTTAAATGTAGGCACAAGATATAAAATAAATCTATAAGTAGTTTTTACAGTTTATGGTTACTGAAGGTAATTCCTTGTGAGAATTGAAGAGTGGGAGGCCCACTGTTTATCAGGATAGGTTTTAAGCATTTTATTTGCTTACTTTTTAACTTAATTTAATTTTATTTTTATGATCCTGAACTGTGGTAACTGTATAGTTGAGCTGATGAGAAAATTCTGAACCACCCACTGTATTTTTCAGTCCATCTGTTAGAAAAAAATATGAGGAAATGTAGTCTATTTTATCACCATTTTTGCTTCTAAAGGCTATTTAAATACAGATAACAGTACACATAACAAACTGGAGGAACAGGTCCCACCACCTCACCCAATCCACCTGCTGCTACCTGATATGTCTACTCAGACCACAGAACCAGCAATGCACTGTCGTACCACACATTTGGAAGTTTGCCTGAGCTGAGCCTCCAGAGCAGGAAGAAAATTATGGATGTTGGGACAAACCACTTCTTGACATATGCCACTGCTATAATTTCAGAACAGAGGGAGAAAAAGGAACCACAAAGGGGAGAAAAGTCAAGTCACTACAAGGCATGTAGGTTTTTCTTAGAAGATCTAGCACAGAATGGAAAGCATAATGTGCATTCCAATTTTACCTTGGAATTGGAATAGCTTACTTGTACTGAGATGTCCAGTTTTGGTCTCTGGCAAAGAATGTGAATATTTGTTTTAACATGGTATATGCCATTTGCTGAAAACAACCCATCTTTTGTTTAGTGAAGTTTGATTTAGCAGTATGTTCTAGTTTGCTTTTCTGTTGCTGTGACCAAAAACAACTTGGGGAGAAAAGGGTTTACTTCATCTTATACCTTCCATCATTGAGTGAAGCCAGGGCAGAAACTGAAGCAGAGAAGAATGATACGTAGGCTTGCTTCCTTTGGCTTACTCAACTAGCTTTTTCTCCTACCCAGTCCCACGTGCCTAGGGATGGAGCACTGAAAAGTGGGCTGGGGCCTGGGCTGAGCCCCCCCCTCCTCCCCGCCCCCACCTCAACCATCAAAGAAGATAATTCTCCAGAGATGTACCCACAGACAAATCTGATAAGGGACATTCTTCAATTGAGGTTTCCTCTTCCCTGGTGAGTCTAGTTTGTGTCAAGTTGACAATAAAAACTAACCAGTATAAGGTAATTATTCTGTTTGCACAAATAAAGTTGAATGTTTTTATGCATGTAAATACTACCATAAATCTTTTTAAAGATTTATTTTTATTATTCATGTGTGTGTGTGTGTGTGGCACATGTGTGCCTACAGAGGCCAGAAGAGGGTGTTGAATCCCCTGGAGCTGAAGTTACAGGCAATTGTGAGTTGCCTGATATCAGCACTAGGAACCAAATTCCAGGGTCCTCTGGAAGAACAGCAAGTGTTCTTAACCACTGAGCCATCTCTCCAGCCCCATTGCCATAAATCTTACAAAACTATAGGAGTAATTCTTTCAAATGTACTTAGCACCTGTTTGGCATTAGCGTTTACCTAATTTTGTAGCCTCGCCTGATTTCTTTTTCATTTTGGCAATTGCAATAAAAATTTTCCATAGTAATACAGTTGGGTGTCCTCAAAGGAAGAGGGGAAATGGAAAGAGGTGTTGAAACATTACCCTCTCAGGCAATGTTTACCCTAAGACCTTTAAATGACTAGTGTGATTGGATAATTCCAGTGAAGCCTCCTGTAGTCCCTGTCTCAAAAAAAAAAAAAAAAAAAAAAAAAAAAAAAAATCACAACTCCTTTGCACCTTCTGCCCCTTACAAACCTTGAGTAGTATATGACTTTAAAAAGCAGATAAAAACAGCACGGTGTAGTAGTGAACACCTGTAATCCCAACACTTGGGAGGCAGGGGCAAGAGGGTCAGGAATTCAAGTTTAGCCTCAGCTGCAATTTTGAGGTCAGCCTGAGCAACAAAAGGTCTGGCCTCAATTCCCTACACCCTCCCAATACACACACAAGCACAGAATTGGTTTCTACTCCTTCCTGCTTTTCAAAGTGCTTAGAGGGGCTGGAGATGTAGCTCAGCTGGTAGGGTGCATGCCTTGCACGCAGGGAGTCCTGGGCTCAATCACCAGCACCACATAAACTGGGTGTGGGGCGTACACCTGTAATCCCAGCACGCAGGAGGTGGAGGCAGGAGAACTTGTAATTCAAGGCCAGTATCCGCTACTTGACACCTGTCTTAAACCACGCCCCCCATCAAAGTGAGTACAACCATACATACGCAAGTGCACCCACAATTTCACTGTGTGATACAATGTTTCAAAGCAGAACTTTACCGTGCATCAATATCAAGGTATTTTTGTTCCTGAAAAATTTAGTTTCAGAATGTCATTCTCCGCCGGCAGAAAGCTCTGAAAAGCCAGATGTGGGAAAGAGTTCTAGCTATTCCCTCTCAGACGTTTAGGCTGGGATCCAGGGCAGTGTTTTAGGGGACCACGCCCCCACTCAGCTGGGGACCCAGCGGAATTTGTAACCCCCACTGGCTGTCTGAATGGTGAAGGCATTGCCCTGGGGGAAGGCGAGGGTGCGGATGGTGCTGTGGCTGCGGATGGGCGTGCTGAAAGAGCCGCCCTCCTCCAGCTCACTGTGGCTCAGGTTCACTGCGCTCCGGCTGCAGTCAGTGCGCAGCCCGTGGAACGCGCCGTGCAAGTTCCCAGGCCTACTGCCATCGCTCACGGGCTGCGACTGCAGCCGGGGTCGTTTGGGATCGCGGTTCTGTAGGGCTTCGTCGCAGCGCTGAGAAATCTCCCTGAGGATGGCGTCCACTTCTGCGCAGTCCTGCCCCGCAGCGCACAGCAACTCCTCCAGGCTCCTTTTGGCGGAGGCCTTGAGCCGGAAGGGCTCGGCCACAGCCCCGCAATCTCTGGACTGCGTGATCATCAGCTTCTGTAGAAGATGGGGAAGAGCGCCGCCCTGGAGCCAGCGGGATGCAGAAAGAGACCCAGGCGCACTTGGCCCCGGGGCCTCGGGGGTCCTCTACTTCCCTGGATCCCGCCACGTCCCAACACCCGCAGCTGAGTGGGAGGTGCGCCGCAACAGTCCCGACGTCCCGCCGGGTCCCGCACGCCTGTCCACTTACGTCCAGCACCGACGCCAGGTGCCGGGTGCGGCTGGCAAGCTCCTTCAGCTGCACATTTCGCTCCTTGAGCGAGGCGATCTCCTCCTGCTTCTGAGTCAGCGTCACGTGCAGCTGCAGGAGACGCAGAAATTCAGACCCTTACTGAATCTACGCTTCAGAAATTGGCTTCTCATCCGGACAGAGGCCCTTTAACAGTCCTAACAGTAACCAATTTATCTGGTCTCTTTTCCCTCCCTGAAGCACTTAGATGACAATGTATCTCAATTAAACCTGTGTGCTGCCACTGGTGAGGAGTACAGATTGAACAACAGGCAGATAGATCTAGGCTCTGCCTTCAAAGTTCAACATTCCTATGCCTCAATTTACTTATCTATAAAATGGGGCTAGTAAGAATGTCTTCCTCTGGAGGAGAGGTAGTAAATTGGTAAACACAGTGCCAGGCACATGGAAAGCCTTCCAGAAATATCGCTAGTCCTGTTAAAATCAGGTGGGACTTGCACGGAGTGGTGTACAGTTGTAACCCCAGCTAGAGGAAACTGAAGCAGGAAGATAGGGGGTTCAAGGCATGCCTGTGCTATATAGTGAGTTCAAAACGGAGAAAGAGTGCTGGGAATGTAGCTCAGTTAGTGGAGTGTTTCTATATGTGCAAGCCCAGGAGGTTCCCAGAGTTCAAGGTCATTCTCTTTGTGGTATCCAATTCAAAGTCAGCCTGGGCTGCATAAGACCTTGTCTCAAAAAGAGCAGAAGTATCTGGTGGTCTGGGATCACACTTTTGTTTTTCTGGTTGGACCAGCCTTGAGATCCACTACATGTCCACAGCAGAGCATCCTGGCCCTTACAACCCCAACCTTTGCTCTACACCAGGCCCTGCCCCCACCCCAGGATTCCTGGCTCCAGGTGTCCCTACTTGGTTATTCTCTATGAGAGCATTCCCCAGAGCTCTCTGGTTCTGGTCCGCCACCTCCTTCCAGTACTGCTCTGGCTGCGGCAGGTCTGGAGCACATGGCGGTGGTGACAGGGACTGCAAGGTCGGTGGGTCCAGCGATGGGGGGAGACCGGTCCCAAAAGGTGAATCACAAGGGGAAAAAGGAAAGTCACCGTCGGTCAATGGAGGTGACATCAAAGAGGACGAGTCTGGGAGAAAGCAAGAGCTGGACTTACTGCCTCAAAATCATGCCCAACTAGCCACAGGAGTAAAATGCCACCCAGATATGGGGTTTGTGAGTTTTCTTTATAAAGCAAAGCTCACTATTGTTTCCTTTCCTGGTATCCTGTTTATACACATCAAGTGCTCTGTATACACTCCTGTTGAGCTAACCTGAAGGAAATCAAACAAACTTGCTTGGGCCTGGAAGTCACACAAGGCTTTGCTCCTCTACACAATTTTGCCATTCAATCTTTGTCCTACCACATCACTCCCTGCTCCCAGAACCCACACCAAGAAATTCATAGAAGCCCTTATAGATTCAGCATCCAATTGCCTATTGCTGAGAAAGGATGCCCTCAATAAGGAAGAGTCTGACTCTTTGGTGAGAGATGCTGGCCAGTCTTTGACAGGTGGCTGGGTTGACAATACAAGCTGAAGTATTTATATTTTGGTGGAGAACTCCCCCTCTGTTATTTAACTTCAAGGAGACAGCACTTGCCTGCAATAAGATCATCCACTGTGTCTCTGAAATTCTGCAGATCAAAGTCCTCTTGGGTTTGCAAGGAATGGTTCTAAAACAAACCAAGGGTATAAGCCAGTCAACATTAAGTCTGGGCTGCAGCAAACAATTCTATCCAGACATACATGCATCTTTGCAGGGCTGCAGGGAACAAGTCTAACCAGACATACATACATCTTTACAGGTTCTGAGACTAGTCTGAATACATCAGTTCACAGTCAAGTCCCAAGTCCTATACCTAGAAATTCAAACTTCATACTGTGTAGAAAACATAGGTTTGCCCTGTACTGACTGAGTCAGCAAGCAGAGCAGACAGGCTGTAGCCAGTATATTCTGTAGATGGAGGAAACCACCAGTAGCAGTCCCTCCTCTGGCTGTGGGCCAGCCCCTTGACTGGTTTTCGACAGTCCACCTGAGCCTCCTCAAGGTGGGTCATCAGACAACTAGGCTGACTCCTTGTGCACCAGCAACTCCAATTTACACTACCATCCCCCATCCCTCACCCCCAGTTAAAGAATCACTGATCTAAGGGCAGAGAGCATGAATATCAGGGCTTTCCTCCTCAGACCTGAAGGGCACAGAGGCCTCCAAAGCCCAGGCTCAATCACAGCTAACCAATTCCCCTATAAAGGAAAGGGAAGTGTGGACTATGATCAAAAGGTCTAGGGATGCTAGGAAGAGGATCTGTTCAAGGAACCATAGCAGGTATGGAGTCTATTGCTTTTCTTTTTAAGTTTCTCAAAAAGTTAGAGTTGCCTTTTCCCCTACCATCAGAAGCACCTCCAACTTCTTGAACTGCAACACTTGCTTGGTCAGGGTGGTTGGGTGTATGAATGAGAAAGAGATGGTAAAAAGATGCAGGTCCAGGAATCTTCCCATTCCCTTAAGGCATGGACATTTCAAGTTGGCAACATTTTCATTTCTTACATAGTCTCTAAGTTAATCCTCTCCAATGTGAAAAGTAGGCAGAGCCCAGGGAATGCTTCCTCTTCTACTGAGGGACAATCTGAAGCACAGAGGTGAGTTACCCAAGTCACCTCCTTCCTGTCCTAAGCACCCTAGTGCCTACTTCAGTCTTCTCTCCTGAATGCCTCATTGTTTTTTTTGAGGAATGCCTGACTTCCATGGAAGTCAGCATTGGAAAGGGGAAATGAGTCCCCAGGGGAGTCATCCCATAGGTTCATCAGAAATGTCTACTGATTCCATTCTTGATTCATACCTTTGCAGTAGTCATCCTCTTCTCACTAAAGCCCTTCTTTACTAATTATATTTTGGGGAATAGATATTTATTCTGACCCTAACCTTCTTTTCTGGCCCCATTTTCAGAGTCTGAAGGAGAAAAGAAGACAAATGGTCTCAACAATTGAGACCTCTGGGTCAGGTGAAAGACACCCAAATGTGTCTTTCCTTATTTGAGCAGTGCTAACTCTTACCTCTTGTCATAAGAATCTGCTTCCAGGGGCTGGAGAGATTGCTCAGTGGTTAAAAGTGCTTGCTGCTCTTGCAGAGGAACTAAGTTCGATTCCCAACACCCAGATGGGGTGACTCACAACTGCCTGTAACTCCAGTTCCAAGAGATCCAAAGCCTCTGGCACCCAGGGGCACTGACACACACACACACACACACACACACACACACACACACAATTTAAAAATAAATTAAAAATCTTTAAAAAGAATCTGCTGCTGATGCCACCTGTACTGTCACCTGAGCTATTTCCCAAAGTTGTAAAGGTCCCTAAAGGAGTCCTTAGAAGCTTTACTCAACTACCACTCAGTTCTAACCACAAAGTCTAGAGAATTCTGTTCATGGACTTTGTAGTCCCAGAGCCTACTACTGGGAAACTGGAAGTAGCTCTCTTTAATGATGGCAAGAGGTGGAAGTCTGATGGAATTAAGAAGACAGGTTCAGAGCTGGGCAGAGGCAAGCAGATCTCCGTGAGTTTGAGGCCAGCCTGGTCTACATAGCAAGTTCCAGCCCAGCTGGGGCTACAGGGAGACCCTGTCTCCAACAACAACAACAACAACAACAACAACAAAAAAAAAAACAGGTTTAGTGGTTGGAGAGATGGCTCAGCAGGTTGAGAGCATGGCTGCTGGCTGGTTTTGCAGAGGACCTGGGTTCTAATTTCCACAGGCATTGCAGCACAAGGGTACACTTATTTACACACAGGCAATACACTCATAACATAAAAAATAAAAATAATAAATAAAACTTAAGGAAAAAACAGGTTTAGAGGGTAAAAGTCTCTTTTGCTCCAGGACAGCAAGGAACTAGAGTTTTCAGAGGAGCAGAAGAGGACTTTCAAGGTGCCTAACTGCTGAATGCCCATCTTTGCAGAGAGCAATGGTTTCAGTCAGCTTTCTTCCTTTGTCCTTTTGCCCATAGACTTCCATACTTCTTTAATACCCAGGTTAGTGAGTGGTGGGAAATGGGTGACAATAGGACAGTTATCCCGTGAGCTCCCACTCATTCACAAAACTCCTCAGCGCACCAGCTCTGAACTGCCCTGTCACAGTTGACAGGGATGGCAAGGAGGCTCTGTGGGCAAGTCCCACTGTTGGCGAAAGCAACTCTTCGGCTTCCCGCACGCTACAGGCTGACGTGTCTGTGCTCCTAGTTGGTCAGGAGAGGAACTTTTGAAGAAATAAACCCACCGCTTTCTGGTGGGATTTTGTGTCATCAGAGGGCTGTAGCATCCACTCAAGGGAAGGTACCTGCGAAGCTGAGGGGCCACCACTAGGAGGCGCTTCGGGGCCGAGTAGCGAGGTGCAGTCTGCCAGGTCCTGCAGGTCTATGGTGGTGAGGGCTGCGCGGGGAGATGGGTAGACATGCACGTCGAGAAGCCTGAGCCTCTCTTCCAGGTCGCGGCCGGGACCCTCAACCAGGATATCTCAGCCAGGAGAAAGGGGGCTGCGGGCCGAGCGCTGCACCCACCCGGCTTGGGGAATCCGGGGCCTTGCAAGTGCCTCAGAGCTCACCTGGCAGCGCTTTGGGCTCCGCATCCGGGGGATCCTCGTACACCGACACCAGGCTGCCGCCGCAGCATCCAGAAATGGACTTCCACGGGGGCACGAACTAACCGGGCAGAGAAACAGGGAATGCGGGTCAGCGGTCTGGGCGCGGAGCTAGCAGACTGCGGGAGCCAGGACCCGGGCCAGCGGCCCCACCTTCCTCTCCCGCTTCCCTGGCTTGCAGAGCGGACCGCGAGGCTGTTCCAGCATCCTGTTGGGGCAGATGCTCTCGAAGGCCCGGCGTCCCGCCACGCTGCTCTGGCACGCCTGCATCCCGACTGCAGGGACGCCGGGCCCAGGCTGGGATGGAGGCTCAGACCCTGCGCTCCTACACCTGTTGGTGCCTGAGATGGGAGAAGGCTCGTGGAAAGAGCGGAGGGAGGGCCTGGAAGAGGAGGACCGCCGGGCGGGAGGGGCGGCTCGCGCCGCTGAGCGCTAGAGGTGGCGCCTTTAACCCAGGACAATCTGTGAGCGGGCGGAGGCGTTAACCCAACCTGGCAACCCGGCTTCCCCCGGGAGCTGAGAGCGCTGGACCCGGGCCCGCCGAGCGCCCTTTCGGCGAGCATTGGCGCCGCAGCATCCTGGCTACGAAGCCAGGGAAGGGTGGGGGGTGGGCTAGCACCTCCAGTCACTAATCTTCCAATTTATGGACAGCAAGGATGGAAAAGTTAGTGATTATTTCTTCATTTTCTTTTCATCCCAGCCACAAGACACATTATAAATTTGGAGTGACAGTCACGGAAGCCAGACTCCACAGTTTGCCGGGCAGGTACAAGTAAGGACATAGAATTCTGTGTTTGGGCCTCCCCAGAACAGCCTCCAGATTATGGAAACTCTCCCCAGATGTGAACAGAATTTTGGATCTTCATTTATGGACTTAGCTTGGTCTCTCGCTCTTGGCCTACAGCGAAGAATTCTGAGCCCGCTGCACCACAGACAAGCACCTTCCTGGGCAGGCAGTGGAGCCTGAGCACAACCTTTTTTTTTTTTTTAAAGGATCAAGAAAAGTGACAGTGCTGAAGCAGGAGAATTGCTGCGTTCCAGACTAGATTAGGCTATAGACTAATCTGAGCTAGAGACTGTCTCAAAAAAGAGAGAAAGAGGGGCTGGAGAGATGGCTCAGCCTGTTAAGAGTACTGGCTGCTCTTGCAGAGGACCCAGGTTCAATTTCCAGCACCCACATGGTAGCTAACAACTGCCCAGTAGCTCCAGTTCCAGGGGATTCCAATGCCCTCTTCTGACCTTCGTAGGCGTTGCACACATGACTACACTTACATGCAGACAAAACACTAAAATATACAAAATAAAAATATTTTTTAAAGGAAAGAAAGAAAAAGATGAAATTTGCAAACCCTCCTCCATTTTCCAAATCCCCTACCCTGGTGGCTTTGGCTGCCTGTACCAGCATTTGTTGTCCTCTTTACAGTTGGCCTCCCTTGCAGTTTCACAGCTCTGGCTAAGTCAGAGCCCCCTCCCTGGAACAAGCATCTTCCAGAATTTGAATTAGAGATTATCTACTAGAAAGGGGAATCTTCCAAAATGGAATATCTTTGGGTGAGAGAACCTGTCTCAGTACTATCCTGATCAATTTCAATGTAAACAATCAGCTGAAATTAAAATTTGTGTATCTTCCTGCTGGGGACCTTGTTCACACCTTATATTAGTAACAGATGTGTAAGAACCTCTTTTCTTTGCACCCATTAGCTAAACTAAGAATCAAGCTAGTCCTCACAGTGGTGGACAATGGTTGGTCGGAGGGATAAACTTAGAGACTTATGACCCCCGTGTGTTTGCAGAAACTGAGTTGGTGTGCTGCTGAGCCTGCTGGGCTGGAGTGGTGTTGCTGGGAGGAGCTCTGGCTTTAGTGTAAGAGTGCTCAAGGATTGAGACTAGACCCCACCAGAGCTGAGTCTGTGAAGGTGAGTTTGCTTATTTATGTACAGTGACTGGTGCTTTGTTGGACAATTTTTTTAAAGCAAGTTTTTCAGTTACATTCCCAACTTCCTATAGCCTGATCCTGACTCAGCCCCAAGAGATAGATATGGGGTCTTAGGATATTTAACTTAGTGTTAGACAATGGTAGATAACTGCCCACAAAGTCACTTCTTTGCACAACAGCCAGTTACCTTGGGTTTCCTTGAAGACAAGCTGAGGGCCCCAGATAGGACTTGGGACAGGTAATATCCTCACACCCCTCTTTCATCATCACAGAATAGCCTTTCCACTCCTGATCAAGGAGATAGTTCCTATCCAGCTTAGCATATCAATACATCCAAAGAAGAGGGGCCCAATGGACACAGAATAAGATACTCCAACCTCTAGAGAGCACCCAGTGGAAGAATGCAAAGATTCTCTAGATTTGGCTTTGTCATACATTGACTTTATTTTAAATGAAATGGCAGACTGGGATTTCTCCCCAGCTTTTGATATTTTCCATACAAAAGTTTGAAAAAGCCACAATGACTGTTTACCCCAGTTGTTACCATCTTCCCCTTCTCTATTCTTTGCATCAAGCTTTTTCTGCCTAACTCCTCCCATCAATTGCAAGTAGTACCAATATTACTTGAGGGTTCTGTGTTCCATGATGTATGCTGGGGGGCAGGCTATGTGGATCATCTTTGTATAGGAATACCCCAGCCCTCACAATGGTTGCTACTATTATTCAGAAAAATGGGCATAGACTTGCCTAAGGTCACCTAGCAAACTGGCTCCACAGCCTACTTGCTTAATCACTCTCTCCTCCCCCTCCCGGAAGCTTAATCCAAACTTCTCAACAACCCTGAGATCAATGGAAAAGCTCAGCGAGATTAAGAAATTTGCTGCAGGTGGTGGAACTGAGGTTCAGCACCTATAACAGCTCAGGAAGCTTATTTCCCAGCCCAGTTTCCCCATCTGTGACATGAGTCCTGTTCCATGGCTGGAAGCAAAGACGGCTGAACAGAATACTGCCCTGCTGAGTTCAGCTGAATGAACAATGCACCTGTCTCAGGGTTTCTTGAAGAATTTCCAGAAACCTAAATGGGAGCAGCTTAATGATGTGGCTAAAGGTAAACTCATGGATCACCTGCCTCCAAGTCCTCTGTACCCCAAAGTCATTCTCAGGAAAATGGGATAAGACTGCTTCACCACATTGTTGGGAGAGTGAAATAACTGTTGAACAGTGTGTGATACATTGCAAGCACTCAGGAGAGTATTAGTATCAGGCCATTGTTACCCTGGGCTCAATGTGAACTGAACCTTGTAACTGCAAAGGAAACAGGCCCAGGTTGCAGCATTCCTAACAGTCTGCAATGCCTGTTTTCCAACCCTTTCCCAGGTTGCAGGAACGAATGACTATATTGGAATATTTCTTGCTTTGCCCTCTGCCAGTGTGCCTACCTGGTCACCAAAGCTTCCTGTTCCACATAACCAGCGAGCACTGTCATGGCCCCTCTGGGCTACAGATTACAATGAGTTCTCAGCCTCACACCCCTTGGGCCTCGGGGGGCGGGGGGACACAGCTCTCAGCCTCCAGACGGGAGAGATGAGATCCAGACAAGCAACCCTGACTTGTCCGATTACTGGAACCATAGCATACAAAATCGTGCCAGGTTGTAGTTAGCCATCTCTGTGAAAACAGTGAAATCGTGGGAGAGGAGTCTCTGAAATTGGCAACCACCCTGACTTCAACCGTGAAGGGGCGGACACTGCAACTACAGCACTCTGACAATCCAAGACAGTCGCCCTGCCCTTGTGTGCTCCCCAAATAAATAAACTACTAGGTTCTGTTATTGTACACTATTTACAAGCAGGAATCCTGAGCCTCTCTTTGGATCTCTCTGGTCTCTTCTGAAGCAATCGAGCCCCCCAGGGAATAGAGGGCAAGTTTTTATTTCCAGTTCTGAGGCAGGCTGCACTTCTCCCATATCTGGAGGGGCAGCACGTGAGTCAGGGAGGCACTGTTTATAGCCACCAGCAGCTGCAGCTTGTCCAGGCAGTCTTGCAACACCGGCTCCGGGTGCTCGCCCAGACCGAGGTCCACCGGGCGCAGAAGTCGCAGCATGCGATCCGCCAGCGCCAGGCAGCAGATGGCCAGCAGAGAGGGTGTGTAGTTGGTGAAGGCATAGTCCGCCAAGCTCAGCTCCGCTACTCCCCGCGCCAGGGTTTGTGCCTCCAGGGCTTCAGCAACTTCAACCTGTCCGGCGTCCACGCGCACGTGAGTGAAGTGCTCCAGGAAGAAGTTGATGGTGGGTGCGCCCAAGCTGAAGTGTAGCTTGTGCAGCACGATGCACTCGAGGTTGCACAGCTGCTGCCGGGAGAAGGCACCACCGCACAGGGCCAGGAGCTGCTTCACGCGGGGCGGGTGCACGTCCACCTGCAACACAGCACGCTCAGCTCCGGCCTAGCTGCTCCCAGGGCCCCAAAGCCCGCCCAGCCTGAAATCCGGGAGCAAACTGGTACTCGTCTTGTACCCTCTTCCTGAAAGCCCAGGGTTCAACTTTTTGTCCTATTGCCCAAATGAAAGAGGGAAGGGGGGGGTAATGTTTAGAAGCTTTTTCCTAGGTGCAACAAAGTTTTGGGTGTGTGTCAAGGGGAGGGGGCGGTGTGGCTACAGCTTATCTCTTTGGGGGCAAAAAGGGTTGTTAGTCTGCAGGAAAAAAATACAAAGTCTATGGCCTGTAGAGATTTACAAGCTTCTGCCAAGCGACCAACTCTGCGTTGTGCACTCCTGGAGGTTAACTGTAACCGTACCTGTTTGCAAGCAATGAGCAGACAGGTGACCCCCAGCAGCTGGAAGCAGTCTGCAGCAACCGGTGTGGTGATGAGGAAGCGGTCCAGAGTGTTCACGGTCAGGCACAGCGACTCGAAGGAGAGGCCGAATTGGCGGTGCACCGGCAAGAGCCAGCTGAGCAGTTTACAGCGGGATTCTGCGGTCACCTGCAGGAAGAGGGGAGGGGAGGCGTGCTGCAGAAAAGGGTCAAGATGATCCCAGGAGCTTCCCTGAAGGGAGGCAGAAAGGAGGAAATAGCTAAATGCACTGGAAACTGGGAAACACGTGGGAGCGCTGGCCTGGCTGAGAGCAGGATCCCAGAACGCCTGGGTTCCTGCCTTGGCGCTGTGCGCAGCGCATCGAACGCATAACTCGGTGTAATCCTCTCAGCAAGTCAAAGGGAAAGTAGGGGTGGGGAGAGTTCTTTTGCAGACACACACTTAGGAGTTCGGGCTCAAACCTAGAAACTGCCAACTCCTCTGCACTCTACGATGCCCCAATCTAGCTTAGACTTAAGCCATCCACAGCCCACTAATCTATCTGCGAAGTGAGGTGGGTGACTTCAGTCCTCGAAGGTCCCTTTTGTGCTCCGACTGGGGGCAGATACTGGAATGCACATACTAGGGGCGCCGCAAAGGGCGGAAGGCAGGAAAGGAGAGCGCGTGCGGGAGGAAGAGGACAGCGGGGAACTCGCGGTGCCTCACTTGTGGCTGGCGCGCCAGAGACTCCCGCGGGTGGAAACGGCTCTCCTGCGCCCTGCGGAAGGCGTAGCAGCTCTGGCCGTAGTCGCGGAAGGTCTGGAGATCTAGCGGCGTCCACGGCTGGGCAGAGCTGTGAAGGGGGCTGCAGCCCCGAGCCGCCGACGCAGCGGGGCTGTCCGCGCCATCCGAGCCGGAGCTGGGGGACTCGAAAAGGTCACAGACACCAGAGTCTCCCGGCAGCGGCCGCGCGTTCAGCGACCGCAGCGGCTCCTTCCTCCGGAGGCGCGGCCGTCTGCTCTTCTTCACCGGGGCGCGGAGGTTTTGATCGTTATCCCGTCTCCCTGCCCCCGCAGCCGGGCTGGCGGGGCTGACCGGACAGGGGGTCACCATGATACAAACGGCTGGCGGCTCTGTTACCCCCAACGCCCAGGCTGCGCCCGGGTCAGCGGAGGGCTGTGCGAACCGCGGAGAGGGCAGCAGGCCGGAGGCTGGCGAGGCTCTAAATACCCGGCCGCCCCTTCCCTCTACCCCACCCCCACCCCCCGCCGCCTCTCACTGGCTGAGCCCTGAGCGGCACGAGGGCCGCGCTTTCCCGGCTACCGGGCCACTCCCCTCGCGCGCGGGCAGCGCGTGGCCTCCGCCGTGGCTCAGGGGGTGGAGAGGGTAGAGGCCCTGCAACTCCCGCTTAGCACCCGCCTTCTGCAACGGGTTCCGCGGGCGTCCGCCGTTACCCTGGTAACTACCCGGAGTCCTGGCGCGAGCTAGGCGCGCCAAGTGGATGCGGGTGAGGAGCGCGGCCCAG